ATTACTGGAGTTTTTTCCCAACACCAAATCGTTATTTTTACACCTCGACACGTGTTTCGATCACCAAGTGATCATCTTCAAGAGGAAGATAAAACTTCTTCCTCTTGAAGATGATCAAGGGAGAGTTGCTCGATGCCATTGATCTCACAATATAATTTCAGGTCATCCGCGTATATCAAACAGTTGATGTCAATGACCTCAAATATGTCGTTTATGAAGGCGTTAAAGAGAAGTAGACCTAGGTTGCTTCCTTTTGGAACACCCGAGGCAGCTGCATATGCCACGGATTCGGAGCCATTGAATATAACATACTGACGCCTGTCAGTGAAGTATGATATGAAAAGTTGAATCAGGGTCAGAGAAAAGCCGTACCTATACAATTTCGATAGCAGTAATCCGTAATCAAGTCTGTCAAACGCCTTAGAGAAGTCCGTATATATGACATTAGTTTGGGATCTCCTATCAATGGTTTCAGAAATATATTGGGTAACATTGAAAAGGTTGGTTATTCTCGAGCGAACCTTTATGAAACCATGTTGAAATGGTGTAATCTGATTGCTCGAATGAGGATATAACCTCCTTTAGATGAGGATTTCAAACACTTTGGCGAATTTGCAAAATATTGATATGGGTCTATAATTACCGACATCAAACTTGTCCCCTTTTTTATAAATTGGCCGAACTTTATATAATTTCCATAGATCTGGAATGGTACTAGTTTTGATGCAGATATTTATTAATATTGTCAATGGACGAGCCAAAATATATGCACAATCTCTGACAGTCAGTGCAGTGATGCTGTCAACACTTCATTTTCTTCGAAATAATGAAAGTTCAAGACTTGTGAATATGGATGGTCATCGCTCAATTCGGTTGTAGAGCTGGTGATATATGATTTTGAGAAAAAATCAGCAAAGCTATTAAGAATATCTAAAGGAGTATCTAAAGATTGTCCTTCGTAGGACATTCTGTCCGAAATTCTGGTAGAACCTTTTTTGTTATTTATGTATGCCCAGAATTCATTTGGATTGTCTTTGATGTCATGTTCAGCGGATTTGACAAAATTTTTTGTACGCGTTGTTCACGTCCGACTTTATCTATGCCCTCAGACGCACAAATTGTTCCGGGCAGCAACATCACCGCTGCTTTTGAATAGCCTTTAGACGAATTTGCTGAATAATTTCATTGTCGAACCACAGCGGATATTTACGCATGGAGTTACCAGTTCGTAAGGGTACACATTGATCCAGTATGTTAAAGATTTTACCGTAAAAATAAGTACAAGCATCAATAGATCATTTGATCGATGGAAATATTAGACGCTTGTGATATAAACTTATTTCAGCTATTTGGTGGTTTTGAGAATAAATTGTAATGGGTCTTCCAATAGGAATTTTCGAACTTTGACAATTGATAACGGCCATCTTAGTGAAGCAGGCTCTGTCAAATTAATGGTCATTTATTCAGTCTGTTTTGCCAAATCACTATGGACGGCAAATAAAAGAACTCTTTTAACAAAACGAGTGTTCTGTTTGGGCAACGTACAGCGCTCTCCGGCAATAATTTTTGAACATTCTGTATAATGTTTAAAAACGGGTTTTATCGAAATCAATAGCTGAAAACCTCTTTTATGCTTGATCGGAATTTGAAAAAATAATTTCTATAGATTTCGATGTTATTCAGTTTTCAATTGTACCTAGCAAGTGTAACGAAATACAGACTGTTCCATTTGAAAAAATACAACTTCAATATGTCACACTTATTTGATCAACTGTAGACTCCAAAATAATTTTCTTTTGCAGCCTCAATTAATTTACATATAATGATTCAGAATCGACAACAATCAGAGTATCAAAATCTGATATGAAATATCTGATAATCCTCAATTCAACGAAATTTCGAATCAAAATACTACCAAATCAATTATTCGAAAGACATCATGAATTACTGACTCAATCTAATTATTTCCACCGAGAAACAATTCCTCGAACCATACTTAAAAATTCCGTGAGCCAACCATGGACTCACTTGTTCATCCTGCATATAAGGAATCTGAATAAGAATCTTGACCAGATGAAATTATTACTAGAAGAAACCAAACGTATTTTTTACATAATAATTCTATCTGAGACTTGGCAAATTAGAGATATAAACCTATATAATATGACTGAGTATAATCTCATTTACAATCACCAAACCAAAATGATGGAGCTATTGTATTTATCAAAAATAATTTATATTTCACTCATGATATAATACATTTATCAAATGGAATCAAAATTATACAGCTGAAAGTTGAACTACACAATGAAAATATACATTTAACTTCTATTTACAGATCACCATCTACATCAATTAATAATTTCATTGACAGTTTGTCAGAATTTCTAGAATCTTGTGAAGATAACAATATTAACAATCATATTTTGATAGGAGATATAAATATCAATATAATGGATGGAGAATGATGACATCACAAATAATTATCTGAATACGCTTGGTGCTCATGGATTCATATCTTATATAAATTCGGTAACAAGGATTAACTCTGGTACTTGTATAGATCATTGTTTCGTAAAAGATACCTCAAATAACTACAAATACAATTCATTCGTCCTTGAAACGGATATAACTGATCACTTCTCTATTGCACTACAAATCATTTCACCTGAAACAAAGAAAATATCATTTGATTTATTGAAATATAAAAAAATTATCGATAACAAAAAACTAAAACAGAACATATGCGAGGAAAATAGGCTGGATCTATACTCGACAGATGACATTGAACTTGCTATTCAAATATTAATTCAAGAAACAAACAAAATCGTGGAAAAAAGCACAAACACAATTGAAGTTAGTAGGAAAAACATGAAAAGGAATCCGTGGATTACTGATGGTATACTGAAGTCCATTGAAGAGAAGACTAATCTTTATATAACAATGAAAGGCAACCCAACAGAAATAAATAAAATAAAATATAAACAGTACAAAAATAGACTGAAAAAAATAACAGAGGAAGCCAAAATAAATTTTTATCGAAACAAAATTGAAAATAATAAAGGAGAATCCTCTAAACTTTGGAAAACTATTAATGAAATGACAAATAAAGGGAGTAACGAAAATACAATCAAAGAAATTCAATCTAATGATGGTTCTATGATTACTGACCAGAAAAAAATTGCTAACAACTTTGTTGAACACTATAGCGAAATTGGTAAAGTCTTGGCGGATGAAATACAAAAAAGATTAAATTATAAAAAAAATAAACCAAAAACCAAATTAGGACTTCTTATTTCCTAGAAAAAAGTGATGAATGTGAAGTCTTGCAAGTTATTCAGAACTTGAAGAACAAAAAATCCATCGGAATTGACACTCTTAGAGCTGAAACTATTAAACTAATAGCAAAAGAACTAGCAATTCCATTGACATACATAACAAACTGGTAATTCAGTAGTGGAAATGTCCAGCTCTATTCAAGTGTGCTGTTATTTCACCAATATTCAAGTCTGGAAATAAACTCAAAGTGGATAACTATCGCCCAATATCCGTAATTACAAACTTTGCGAAAATATTCGAAACCATCTTGAAATCACGCATTGAAAAATACCTATCAAAATATAAAATTTTATCAAACAATCAATTCGGATTTCAAAAGGGAAAATCAACTGAAGATGTAGTAAATATATAGACGAAACATCACCATCCCTATGTATATTTGTAGACTTGAAGAAAGCATTTGATACAGTTAGCCATGATCAACTTCTAGAGCTACTTGAGAGTATTGGATTCAGAGGAACATCCCACCAACTCCTCTATAGTTATCTCCATGAAAGGAACCAATGTGTGAAAATCAAAGACACTCTCAGTGAATCTCGAATAGTACAATATGGTGTACCCCAAGGGACAGTTCTGGGTCCAATTCTCTTCAATATCTACCTAAACGATCTTTTTATGCTAGATGTGAAAGGGGACATAATAAGCTTCGCAAATGACACAGTAGTCATTCACGAATCGGAAACGTGGAGCTGTCTGAAAGAAAAAGTTGAAGAAAATTTTAAAGCTATAATTCAATGGTTTGAAAGTAAACTACTGACTATTAATATACCTAAAACATTTTAAGTTACCTTTACATCTTATGCTAACCATTTACCAAGCTTCAAATCACTACTTATAAAATATAATAATGTGAATCTCACTATTTCTTCAGTAAATAAAATAAAGTATCTTGGTATATGTATATATAGATGCCCATTTAAAATGGGATGCACATATTGACTATTTGGTGAAAAAATTACGTAGTGTTACATATAGATTGAAATACATGACATCCTACCTAGATATAGCTCAAATGCTCATGCTATACTATACCTTGTTTGAAACTAACCTCTCCTATGGGATAGTTGCTGAGGAGCAGCAAGTAATTCTCACATAAAAATCTAAGAACAAATTCAAAAATTAACTCTGAAAATAATGACAAAAAAAAAGAACTTACCCCACAGAAGCGCCATATAAGGAAACATTGACTTGAGACATAAGGCAACTTTACTTCTTCAAAACTGTTATAAGGCAACACAAAAATAAACATGAACTTAGAAAAATTGAACACCTTTATGCAACCAAAATCAGAGAAAAATACTTTACTACAAAAGTGGTATACTTATTTAGCTCCTCGGCTGTATAATCTTATTCCAGCACATATAAAAAGTATTGAGGGCCATAAATGATATACATGAGATATTTATATAGGGTAAATGGAAAAACAACGTGACATATTAAGACATAATTAATTATTTTTCAGGTGATAATGAGAAGAAACTGGTGAAATATTAGTGAAGCTTGAGAGATGATATGTTACCCAAAAAGTGATCTGTAACAAATTCCAGAATGAAATGATTTCTGTTTGAAAACTTACACACATTCAGATTATTTCTTGTCGTTTCTGTTTTGTTTGATTACTTGTTCGTACACTACAATTTTCAAATCGATTTTTTTTTCAGTTAAAAAATGATGATTGTGCTTCTGCTGGGTCTATGTATCGGACATGCTCTGGGTTTGGAATTATTAAACCAATGGAATTTCCTGAATTACGATTTTCCCCCAGATTATGATATCAGTGACTTCAGGTGAGCAAAATTACAATTAGGTTTAGTCTTTTTCTTCATGAAAAAAATGTTATCTAATTGAAGGGCAACTTTCAACAGAAACTTGTGTGATTTCTCAGTTCGCTAGGTCAAAACAGGTCACCCATCCAAGTGATTTCCTTGCCTCACGTTGTGCGCCGATTCGCTTAAAAATGATGTCAGGCAGAGACGAGGTGCGGACGTAACGCAGACGTTTGTCTCTTTCCATTTGAACATCGAAGTTCGATTACTAAACCCTAATTTCAGACTTTTCCAACACTCCAAGTTTGTTGATTTGAAAAATGACCCATCTAATATATCAGAAACAATCACCGGAAACCATATTGATGATCGCTGATAATCAAAAATATGTTTGTCTAGTCTGGATGTAAAATATTAATTTTTTTTCAGTTATAGCCTGAAATGCAGCGACCTTGCAGGAGAAAAAGCCTGCCTGAAGCATTCAAAACAAGGTTTTTCTTGACGATAATATTGATGCTATATTCTTGAAATCGAGTCAAATTTCATGAATATTTTTCACATGAAAAAGTACTATGAATGATATTTTTCACATTTTCAACTTCATGGCCAATGAGATATCTTGTCCTGTTCAAAAGCCAAAAAGGTGAAGGGAACAAATTTGTACGATACTGTTGTATCCAGGAAATTTCTCTTTTGAAGGATATCTGTGAATCTAGAAAACATACAAATTATGTACTGATGATAAACTGATCAACAATAATGAGAAAATAGTAATATATTTCGATATTTTGATATTAAAGATTGATAGATCTTATGGGATATTTCAGAATCTTATTTTAACTGCATTCAGTACGATGCAAACACTACTTTGGTACAGGATCTTGAAGATATTTGGATCTGAAAGTGAAACGTTGGATTGTACGTATATCGAAAATGGAGCTGAATCGACACTCATACTGAAATGTAACCAGCACAAATCAATCAAGTTACCTTTATGTGGGTACCTATCACAAGCTGATATCCTCGTCGAGGAGGGACCCAGATCAACCTGTTAGCCTATGAATTGATAGATGTAGCTGTTACTACGTAATAGCAGATCATCATGAAAAATGTGAAATGAAAATTTCTTTGTTTTCTACCACTTTCACTGCAGTTTCGTCCTGAGTTTTTTTTACCTAAGACAATGTGGGTACGCTAATTTGAAAACCGGTGAGTAAACTGGATCGATTCGATCATTTAGCAGGTTACACCCGCAATGCCTATGTTTATGAATTTCTGAGGATCCGAAATAATTGAGATTCCAACCCTTGCTTGCATAGTACAAAATTTCCGTATCGTTCAGATTCGGGAATATATGGTTGCAAGTTTGAAAACGTCGAATAATTTTCATCTAGTCTGAAACACCTTTCATGTTCAGCATACCGATTTAAGAAATTTCGATTACTCTGTACACTTGAGCTTATAAACTACAGATTTCTCCAGAATCGAAATTTCTCAAAACAGTATGCTGAACATGAAAGGTTCTTCAGACAAGGTAAAAATGATTCGCGTTTTCAAACTATTTCTTGAAATGCAACCATAAATTTAGACAGTTAGTAAAAAATTCATGAATGATAACCATATGAGATGAAAAAGTGGGGCAAACCATCGATTTTTCCTCTACACACGATATTCTATTTAAAGGTATTTGAAAGTTATCGAACTAAATTCAGGCTGTTTACCCAGAATTATGAATGATCTGCTGATCGAACAGGAATTTCTGAAGATCTGGAAGAGGGCGAAGGTAATCCTAATCTATAAATACAACAGGTTGATCAATAGACCATTCTGCTATTCGAATACATCATGAAAGCAAGAATGAAAAAAATTATTGAAGAAAAAATTGGGAAAAAATATGTGGAGATTAGCGGAAACTAGAACACCTCCACACATTGGAAGTTACCTCTCAGATAGGGAAATCATAAACTCTGAAGAAAAAACGTGACCACAGGAATTCCACAAGGCTCTACATTAGGCCCAATATCATAAAATATATTACAAGATACAGAGTTGAGAAGGAATAGGCTACCCAGAACGAATATAGTAAGAAACTCAAATAATCTGGCGATAGTGACATTTGGCGCACAGAGAGCACCAAAACATATGCAATTCTTAATAGGATAGATGAATGGATACCTATCAAGTATATCAATTTGACATCAAAAAAACTGAAGCCCCTTTCATATATGCCCTAAAAGAGACAGACAAGACCTCAGTTTGAAGGTAATAAATACGACCATCACGCACTAAAAAAAAACTCTTAAAAATCTATGAATGACCATGGAAGAAGGAGGGACTTCCAGAATTCATATCAGTGCGACAACTAAAAAGTACAACAACTCTTCGGATAATCTTTCTTAACATAGGGGACCCCAATGATCAGAAAAAGAGGATACTGAATAGTGTCACTCAAAGCACCATCTTATATGGACCAGTAACCAAATTATTTTCATTAAGCCAGTACAAGTGATATCAGGATAACCACTTCCGAGTGTAAAGGTGCTAGAATTTACTGTTGAAAATAATTATTAGGTACATATTTTTGGTTGGATACCATGTATAATAACAGTATTGTGTCAACGTTAATTGAAATATAGTTTTTAAGTTAATCTTCTTTGCGTTTATAAAATAAAAACTGTATAACCGAACAAGTTAATGGCCCAGGAATGCGCCATTAAAAATGATCAACATTAAGAAAGTTCTTGTGAAATTGAAATCTGAAAACTCATAAAAGCTTCAGACATGAATACAATATCTCCAAGAATAATAGTGGCATCCACTATAGATGGTGTATCTCAAATAAAGAAGTTAAAAGATAACAAATTTTTTTAAGTTTCGAAGCTCCAACTCCTAATACTAATTGAAGCTCACGGATTGTACGATATCGTCAAAAAACAGTTACTTTCATCCCTAACAAGAGAAGAGGAAAAAGCTGACCGGTATCGTAAAGATGCAAGAGCGCAGTAAGTCATAACAACATCAATTGATACAACAGTCCTGATGAGTATCCTGATATGTGAAACTTCCATAGATATTTTCGACAAGCTTTGCTTGCTGTGAAGAAACAAGCCATCTTGAATAAAATAGTTTTTTCCGCAAAAACGAATCCACACATGAGCAACGAAGACACGAAGACACTGAAGATAGTGAAGACTTTATTGTGAATTCTTGATGTTCTTCACAAGTCTATTATTGAAGAACTATTTTTGTTTTTCGAAAATACGAAGTCATATATTTTATTTGAAAGGGTTATATTTTAGTTGTGGAAAAAAATCAATCAATGGAAGCTCAAGGCAGAGGTGTTATCGATACGAGATCATGCACATTGAATAATGTCCTTTATGTTCCTGATTTGAGTAAAAATCTACTGTCTGTTAATGCTATTACCGAAAATAATGGTGGAGTCCTTTTTCGCAATGAAGAGGTATTCATCAAAGAGGGAAGTGAAATAATATTAGGAGGAGAAAATACCTCACTTACCAAGCAATCAGAAATAATGAATTGGTATAGAAAATTGGGACATTTGCGTGTAATGAACATAAAAAACTAAATAACATAATGAATAGAATGAACAGAAAAGATTATAAAAGTTTCGAGAAAGTTTGTGAAATTTGCTTGAAATCCAATCATACGAGGTTGCTCTTCAACGGTGAAAGATATCGTGCAAAGAGACCCCTCGAACTAGTACATACAGACTTATGTGGACCAATTGAACCGATCACCTGGGATTGAAAACGATACATACTGGAAGATTTTATATATTTTTGCATGCACCCCAACTTATGGAAAATCGTAACGATTGAACAGAACCTTTAATGGAGAGAGCTCGTGCTCTCATTTTCGATTTCAACCTGAACAAAACATTCTGGGGCGAAGCAGTACTCACTTCGGCATACTTATTGAATAAAAGTCCTGTCTCTCCCATGAATGTGACATCTGCAGAAAAATAGAGAGATCGGGGAACAGATGTTGAATTTGAAAATAAAATCAATTTTGAAACTACTGAAAGAAATTACTTTAAAAATGACTGTCAAATAATAATGAACGAGAAAACCATGGCAACGTTAAATTTTCAACTGATGATATACAGGGTGATGAAAATATGAAAGAAAGAATAATTTTAAAAAACGAAGAAAAAATAAATGACAACGAACATTTGAAAACAGATATAGAGGAGAAGGAAATCAATAAAGAATCACCAGAAGACCTGGAAAATATGAAGATTTTGTTATGTTAACATATCAAGAAGCTGCAAAAGGATCAGATAAAAGAAGACGGATAGCTGCTGCACAAGAAGGAAAAGGAAAAGTAGATCACTGCATACTGCAGAACAAAACACGAACATTATTTCTGGGTATACACGTCGACGACGGTTTGATGCTGACAGAAAATCAAGAAGAAATCGATTTTGTACTCTACGATTAAGGAAAAGAATTTGAAATTAGAATTGGTAACTTCATTTCGAGAAAAGACAATAATATTGGACCCCGACAAAAAGGGGTATGTGGAAGGACAGAAAAAACTTTCATTTGTAGAGGCTGTTGGAACTATACGTCATGAATAAAACGCGTCCAGAAATAGCATTCCCAGTTAGTTTTTGCAGTCGAAAAATAAAGAAGAATAAAGAAACCAATATGGTTTCAGAGGAGGAATGGATACAGTAGTGGCAGTAGAGAAAATGGTGAAAAGGATTAAAGAAAACAAGAGAGGAAGGAGACACAGTCTGGTTGTGACATTGGACCTGTCCAATGCCTTTAATACCTGGGCACCGGCACCTGGGCACCTGGGCACCTGGGCACCTGGGCACCGGCGATGAGTTTCCTAGGGGAGAGAACAGTCACCTGTGGAGCGGTCTCTGATAACGTAAACAGAGGATGTCCACAGGTTTCAAACCTGGGACCAACCCTATGGAAGTATGGTTGGAACGAATCAGAAGCATGAGAGAGAGACAAGGCATATGTACGATTGGGGTTCAAGCTGGT